TGAATGAAGTCCCACAGAAACCAGATAATGCAGAGCTATGTGACCTTGAACTCTGGACTCAACTGGACCCCAGAACAGAGAACCTCTGCCTGCCTCCCCCATAAACCACACCCATAAACCACACCCTGCCTGCACCAGATAATCTCCTCAGCCACCCTCCAGAACTCAGGATGCTCCTCCCAGACAGGAGTATAAAATGAGGCTCCCAGAACCATGCAACCGGAATCTGAGCCAGGCTGTGGTGGGTGAGAGCCCTCCCCACCCCAAGGAACCCAGCCCCGCAGCCGACCTCCACTACCCAACCACCACCACGCTCCAAGCCGCTTTCCAGACCACACGACACATTATAAGATACCTCCTACCCATTTTCCACAATTACTACATTATATTTGATGAGGTTCAGACAATAGGCAACAAATCATAGAGAAAAATATATAAATATATGCCTCTCAGAAAGCCCAGCAAGCTACCAAGAGTATCCCGCTCTCAGGGGCAGAGCCTGGCAAGCTCCCTCTGAAGTATTCGATATGCCAAATACAGTAACAACAACAGGTCTCATTTCCCTGACCCTGAAAGAGCCTCCAATTGTTGGGAAAAGACAAGTAAGAAGAGGCTGCTAAAATCTCAGGACTGGGAAGAATAGAGACATTACTGGCGCCCGTTCAAGTAATTTCGAAGAGCAACAGGATGACAGTGATACAGTGATACAAAGCTATGTTCACTGATGTTTTAGAAGATATAGCACTGTAGCACTGTCCTCCAGCTGTTCATCAATTTGCTTGAGAGGGCACCAGTAACGTCTCCATTGTGAGACTTGTTACTGCTTTTGGCATATCAAATATGCCACCGGGAGCTTGCCAGGCTCTGCCATGCAGGTGGGATACTCTCGGTAGCTTGCTGAGTCCTCCGAGAGGGACAGAGGAATCGAACCCGGGTCAGCAGCATGCAAGCAAATGCCCTATTTGCTGTGCTATCACTCCAGTGACAAAGGGCTGGAGCGATAGCACAGCGGTAGGGCATTCGCCTTACAAGCGGCCAACATGGGCGATCCGAGTTCAATTCCTCCGCCCCTCTCGGAGAGCCCGGCAAGCTACCGAGAGTATTCGATATGCCAAACACAGTAACAACAAAGTCTCCAATGGAGACATTACTGGGCCCGCTCGAGCAAATCGACGATCAACGGGAGGGCCTTTTTTTACTTTTATATAAAAGATATAAATATAAAAGTGACAAAAATAATTTTAAGTCTAAATAAGAAATAGAATTAATAAGAATAAAATGTAAGTCACCATTCCCTTTTCTACAACTCCAAAAGACCTATATCATTTTACAAAAAAAAAAAATTCTAATCATGGTGGGAAGTTAAACTAAATTGACATAAAGATATTTTAGTTCTTATTCATGTGAATGTGATATTACTTATGCATTTTATTACAGTATGCTATTCCATACCCTAATGACAATATTATGATATTAATGGTGTATATACTATATCACCTTTCTACAGTATAAAACCAAAAACAGAAACTGAGAGAATATGGAAACAGACAAAGGGTTTCTTGTTTGTGAGAAACCCCTAGTTCGATCCTCAAGGCCATAGAGTCAACAAGAGTATGCTGGGTTAAACCAATTAATAAAATTTGGAAGTTAAATGGTTAGGTTCCTTTCACCAGTTTCCTCTTAAGGGTTAACAGAAAGGCTAAATCTGTTGATCAATCTAGTTTTCTCAGTTTTTCTCTTTATATCACTTTGGCAACATTTCATTTATTGTGTATACCATGTATACCATGTATCTTGAACATTATTTTCATAGTACAATCTAATTTACACTTTCTCAGTTTCTTTGGGAGTTAGTGAAATACTGAAATTACTCAATACTTTATTTTAAGTCTCTTCTCCAAATGTATAATGCTTATAACAGCCACTTAAAACTTTAGGAGTTATCTCTACTCTAGATCATACTTATTTGTAAATTCAACTGCCTTACCAGTTTATTCACTTATTTGGATCTTTCAAAGGCATCTCAGTCTCCGGATGTCCAAAACTAAACTCATCTCTCTCTTCCTCTCAAGTGTACCACCAAATATCGAGTGCACAAATTAGAAAAATATAAGTACATCTTGATACCTCCTTTTTTACCCTCATTTTCATTAGGTCCTACTAACTGTAAACACTAGATATTTCTCAATTATATCTCCACTCTACACAATTATATATAAGTGTATATCTCTGCTCTACCTTCTGACTGATTTTCCTGTATCTACTCATACTTTCTGAAATCTCCACACTATATAGTTATTCATTATGATTCTTGTTATGTCATACTCCTGCATACAAGCTCTTCTTCAATGTCTTCCTATTTATTCTTAGAATTTTTTACCAAAATTCACATAATAGCCTATAGGGTGCTTCAAATATGTACTTAAGCTCCTTTTTTCCTGATTGTCTTATTTACAAGATAACTTTTCCCCTTTCCATTTATTTTTAAGACAAATTCTGGGGTTTTTTTCTTAACTTAATCACAGTGAAATACATAGTTACAAAGTTGTTCATGATTGGGTTTCATATGTCATATGTTCCAACACCCATTTTAGTCATATAATTCCCATACCAAAGTCCCTAGTTTCCCTCTCACCTCCCCTCCTCTATGCCAGCGCTTTCTCTCTCACTCTCTCTCTTTCTCTCTCCCACCCCTCCCACTCCCTCCCTACACACATTTTGGGCATTGTGGTATGCAGTTGGACAAACTGGCAGGCTACAGAAACTAACCTGCCCACAGGGCAGAGTCTGGCAAACTCCCCGTGGCGTACCCAATATGCCAAATACCAGTAACAGTGATGGGTCTCATTCTCCTAACCCTGAAAGAGCCTTGAATATGGCACTCAGGGCTAGGACGAAGGAGACGTTACTGGGGCCTGCTCGAGGCAATCAACGAATAACAGGATGGTCGTGGTCGTGATCGTGGTATGCAGTACAGATAGGTTATCAGGTGTATCGCTTTTCTTCTTTCTCTCAGTTCCTGTCCAAAGTGATCATTTCCACCTATTATTGTCATACTGGTCCTTTCTCTATCCTAACTTCCCTTCACTCCCCACACAGGGCAAGTTTTAAACCATTGCCCAGTCCTTCAGGACCCCCATTTTCCCTGGCTTTTCCAATTTTTAAACACAGCACATCACACCTCTGTTCATTTTGATCTTTGCACATGATTTCCTGCTGCATGAACCCCTCTTCCCTTCTCTCTTATTTATTAATCACTATCATATCTCAGCTAAAATATTACCTCTGAGCAAACTTCTATAGATAATATCAGGGCATGATTATTCATTTAACAAATATTTAATAACCTACTATATATCAGTTATGGTTCTAGAAATATGGAACTCATAAAGCAAAGACACTTGCTTTCCTGGTGTTTACAATGTACCAGGAGAAGATAGTAATGAAAATTATATCAATTATTGAATATTTTAAAGGAAATATTTCTAGGGAGTAAAAAACAAAAGAACAGAGAAGTCAAAAGCAGAAAGTTTTCAAGTTCCTATTTAGTATCTCATATATAGAGGATATCCACATATTTGTTGTGTGAATGAATAACTGAATAAGAAATAAACATGTTCATGATATGAAGGAGTCAAACCTATAAAATGGGGGCCAGATAGATACTATAATAGATAAGCTGCTTGCCTTGCACACAACCAACCCACATTCAATCCCTAACATTACTTGTGATTCTTTCAAACACCACCAAGAGGAATCCCTGAGCATAGAGCCAGGAGTAAGCCCTGAGTACCATTGGGCATGGTCCCTAAACAAAACAAAAATTTTAAAAAATATTCAACTATAAAATTAGCAGAGACTAATAAGTGAGAGAAAAAAAGATGCCTTTTAAAAAGCATGCAGGATATCAGAAATATGATCTATTCAATAAATTCTGTTGAACCATTTCTGATGGCTTCATATTTACAGTTCTGGATTCTCAGGTGTAGCCACTGTATGGTCATACCCACCCACTCCCTCCACCACCTGGCTCCCAAGAGCTATATAAGTCAGTGGGTCACTCTTGTAACCATAACACACAATTAGGTCACACATACAATATTGTACGAAACACTTCCCCCAGACACCACCACACATATCCCCAAAGTCACTACTTTTCTCCACACAGTGATCTGGGGCATTTGTGGGTTTCAGAATTTTTTATTCCTCAGTTCCCTTTAGAAACAAATTCCCTCCACAGACACAGGGCTAAAAGAATTCTTGATCTCTTCTATTACCCTTTTCAGAAACTCGGGTCACTTTCCCGGAAGCCCAGTGACAACACGGGAGTCGCCTCAGAATGGGATCTGTCTCTCCGCCCCCTTCCCCTTCCTGTCAGTCTCCTACACACACTGACAGACTACCTGCAGCCCACACTCCATGGACAAGCACCCCTCTGTGGTTCTGAATGACCTTCAGGATCACAGGTCACACCAACAGCTCTGGAGATGGGGGGTTCTGGTGTTCTCCTCAAGCACCTGACTATTGGAACATTTGTATGAGCACTTTTTCTGTGAGCAGGAATGACCCAAAGATACTTCACTTCCTCAACATGCAAATGCTGGGTGTCTCCCCCCTTCCCTGCGGTGATGACAAGCTAACACTTGCACACAGACCTGCCTCCTCAGAACCTCCCATGACGCAGCCCTGTCACAGGTGCTTCTCGGCACGGGGTCCTTCCTTCTTCCCTGGGGGTCCCTTTCTGGGCCTAGGCTCCCTCTGGGGTGCGAACGTTCCGCCAAAGTCCCCGGGAAAAGCCTGGACTTCCCAGGTCCGTGTCTGTCACTCCAGGGAACGCGAGTCGAGTCCCCCCGTGACCCCTGACCCCGAGGTCACAGCCCCACTGCGCAAACACACAGGGGCGCCAGCTGCGGAGTCGGGCCTTGCCCGAGTCTCCCGTCCCCAGAGACCGGGGACGGGGGTGCAACCTCAGCGCTCCCCTGATCTCCGCCCCCACAGACCTGCTTCAGGCGCCGGCTGGCTCCGCTCCGCCATTTTTCTTGTCCCTCCGCCTTGAGCCCACGCGAAAAGAGCGGGGCAATGGGGAGCGGGCGATGGGATCCGCGGGCTGACAGCAACTCTCTCAGGGAGACGCGGCGCCACGGTTACCAGGGCAACGGCTGCCGGTTCCCGGGCGGGAGGCGCGAGGCGGGGGGCGGGCTCGCAGGGAGCGCGCGCCGAGGCCCCGCCCCCTCGGCTCGAGCCCCTCGGGCCCCGCGCCGGCCGCCGGGCTCGGCCGTTCTCCCCCGCCGCCCGGCCGCGCGTCCCGGCAACTGCGCATGCTCGGGCGCCAGCGGGGCGCCGCGACGCGTCTGCCCACCTGGCGCTCGCCTCCCGCGGCGAGGTCCCCGCGCCGAGCACGGAGCTGGGTGCGCTGGCTTTGCTCCGGTCGGTGTTCGCTTTAGGAGGCCTGAGGCCGCGTTTCTAGGTTTCCCGACGCTTCTCCCCCTGCGGTGCGGCTGGCCCCGGAGCAGGGGCCGGGCAACTGGTCTTTGGCTCAGAGACACTGCGAATCAGTGGTGCAGTGCCAGTCCCTCAGACACGCGGGGATGGTTGGACTCTTTTTGCCCCTCTGACCTCACCTGCTCCAGAAAACGTAGAGGACCTTTCGCTGGTGTGTTTCTCCCCGGATTTCGCCCAGGATTCGCTTTTCAGTCGCTCTGGAAGCGATTTCCACTAGCGTCCCAGTCCAGACTAGGAGGTGACCCATTCCTCATCAGCTCGGTGCGCCCGCGGTCCCCGGTGCATTTCTAGTCCTACCTAACACGGTGCTTGTTGCATTCTTTACTTACCTCTTCCTCGTTCGGAGGTAACAGTAAAGGATCAGGATAAGCTTGCTGTAGGAGAAACTACCTGATCTGAATTCACTGGCAAATAGGCATAAGGTAGGCAAAGTAAAGGTGGTAGAAAGAGAATGGTTGGTTGAGGCCACAAGAACAGCAATGGACAAAAAATAGCATGTGGAAAGTAAAAAGCGAAACAGGCAGGAGTGACGGGATCTGTATGAAAAATCGGATTATGGAGGGAGCTCTGATCCTGTGAGAGAAACCCATCTGCAGAACTGTGAGGAGACCAGGGACCTGGTGAGCTGCTGTTCTGGTTGCTGTGTAGAGAGTTGCCAAGAAAATGAGGTAATGCCAGTGCATAATCTCTTAGGTACACATTGCAGGATTTCATCAAATAGTAATCTGAAATGTAAATAAACACATTTGCATAGGACTACATTTTTAAATAAAATTTAATTTCTTTTGTAGTGAGACTAGACACATTTAAGGTGGAAAACAGCTATATGTGACTAATGGCTATAGGAAGGCATAGAGAGAGAAAACGTTTTCACTGCAGAAAGTACTGCTGGACAGAGTAAACTGACAAATGTAACTGGAAAAAATATCAGTACTGCACCAGGAGGATTACTCCATAACTTAGAGGCCAGCTGGGTATCCTAGAGGAAAGGGCAGTTCAGATAGAGAAGGGAGCACCAAATAAAGGATGTTTGGAGGATCCTCCCAGGAGGGGAGATGCATGTCGAAAGTAGACTATGGACTGAACATGTTTGCCACTCAATGCCTCTTTTGCAGACCACAACACCCAAAAGGAGAGAGAGAACACAGGGGATTGCCCTGCCACAGAGACAGGGGGGGTGGGGGTGGTAGGGATATTATCCATGGTGGTGGAAAATGGGCACTGGTGGAGGGATGGGTATCTGATCATTGTATAATTGAAACCAAAGCACAAAAAATTGTAAATCTACAACTGTAAAAAAAAAATAAAATAAAATAAAGGGAAAAAAATATCAGTACTTGTAGGACGAGGTTCAATTCTCCAGTATGTTAGCTTTTTTTCAGGAAACAGGTGGAAAAGGAGACTTCTTCAACCCTCTGGATCCCTCAGATTTTCTTTTCTTTGTGTGAATTGCACAGCATGGAGAGTGGGATAGAAATGCCCCCCATGTGGGCTCTACACATCTTCATTCAAAATGTTCCTAGGAGATCTACATTTTGTATTGGTCTCCTGTGGTTTCCGTGTCCGAAATTTCCACCTACCACAGAGCCAGGATGCCATCCATCAAACAAAATAATTCTAAGAATAACCCACTCTCTCTGTAAACACTATTAAAATGACACCTTCAATGTACCTGGTACTGAGTTAGATGCATGATAGAATGAGAAAAATATGTAAATTGTAACCATATTTCTCACATTCCTAACTCATTTCATGCAGCATTGAAACTTGGTGTTAATGTCATAATTCTGCACAGCATATGAAATTGAGATTTAGAAAGTTTGGGTGACACAAAGTCACATGGACAGTAGTAAAGATAGAAAAGATAGGAATATTACTAAGAAATTCATGTATGTAGTTATTTAATTTTCACATTTAAAGTCCATTGTCTTTTGACAGTTTACTAACTGTTAGGAAAAGGGGTCTTAACACACGCAGAAATCCATTTCACAATTAATTTTCCAAATCTAGCGATAAGAACAATGATACATATATACTCAGAAACCTCTAGGCACTCAGAAGAAACATACCTTTGTGTCTTGCGGAAGATCTTTGGAGAAAAATGATCTTGAAGTAAATGTTAAATGGGAATGGAAGAGAAGGAGGAGGCATGTCAGAAAGGCATAAGGTAGGGAGAAGAGGGATGAAAACACCTTTTCATCAGGTGTCTATCAAGATGGTAGGCTGGGGATAGGAGGATAGGAGAGGGAACCTGGAAACACTGGTTGAGGGAAGTTGACATTGGCAGTGGGGTTGATGCTAGAATATTACATGTGTAAAATCCAAATATGAATAACTGTAAATCATGGTGCTTTAATAAAATAAATGTTTTTTTTTAAAAAAACTTTTTTATCTGTCATTTGTATTGTTTGGAATTCTCAAAATGTTATGTCTTCCTTAATGCCTATGTTTTGTTTCTTTTCCTTGGGGGACAGGGAGAGTTGAGTTTTGATGCCTTAGTTGGAGATGCTAGGGGCTCTGACTAGCTCTGTGCTCAAGACTAACCCCTGGTAGTGCTTGGGGGACCAGATTCATTGCAAGGGTTCTAACAAAGGTTGACCACATATAAGAGAAGTGCTTTACCTTCTGTACTATCTCTCAAGACCTTCTATGGCTAATTTTTTTAACTAAAATAACATTGGTTAATAAATAGGTCTCACCATTATAAATTAACACTGAATAAACTCTTAAGTCAACAACTAAAAATCTAATTTCATCCTTCATCATACAACTAATCCCTTGTACTCAACTTTCTCATCTCTCTCCCCTTCCTTACTTATAACTACTAAGTCTTAAACCTCCACGTCTTAAGTTTATTTTCCTTTATTTAATTTGGTTTGTTAACTTTTTTTATAAAAATTAAAAATACCTATGCTGAGACTAGAAGAATTTTTTCTTTAACGGAATCAAAATATTTAAATGTAAAACGACTGAATTCAAGAACAAAAGGAAAAATATACTCATGTAAATCAACTTTTACAAACACTTGTCCTTAGCATTTTCTCTGCATAGAACACTCTCTTAATTTGTGTGTAGGGGGCTTTCAAGTAGATGCTCGGGGTTCTAGGGCTGCTTCAGGTGATTATCAGCTAACTGAATCTGAGGTTCAATTAGAGGGTCCAAGAATGTAGTGCTGCTCTAACAGTGAGGTACTGGGAATTACTGGGGCCACCACAGTGGTGCTCAGGGAAGTCCAAGACCATGTCCAGCAATGATCAGAGGACCTTGTAGTGGTGGGAATTGCACTGAGATCAGCTGAATGCAAGGCATGGCCTTAACCCCACTACTATCTCTTTGGCTCCCAAAATATTTGACTTCAGGTATCAGTCAACTGGTTTCATTTTGGTCATTCTGAATATTAAGATCATAGGAGAGTTCTGAAAATTCTATTTTGAATATGTTTCTTAGATTTTTTTACATTTTTATTTGTATTATGAACTGTATGTGAATCTTTTACAATTTTACTATTTACTTTATAGGCAAGTGTTATTGCAAAAATAAGCAAACTCATTATTTAATAATTATTACAGGTTTCTTGGTCTATAAGAAAAAACAAATTTCACTTATATTTTCCCTTCCTATCTTTCGATATTTCTTTTTCCTGTATTATTTTTTAAGTCAGAGCTTTTCTACTGCATTAAAAATAATTTATAGCTAAGATAAATTTCCTGATATTATTGAATTACTGGATATTTGAATCAAAATTTGTTTTTGTCTTGATCACTTGATCACGACATCCCATTACTCATTGATTTGCTCGAGCAGGCACCAGTAATGTCTCCATTCATCCTAGTGGCGTGCTAGTGTAGCCCAATGGCATCTGTTCATTCTAGGAGCACGAACAGCCTCAAACCAATCATTCAGGGTCTTGACAAAGAAGTCTGACCATCTCATAGGTGGACGGCCACACGATCTTTTGACGTCTCATGGAATCCAGTCGGTAATGGCTCTAGTCCAGAGGTCATCTCCAAATCTCATTACATGTCCAGCCCATCTGATTTTCGATGCCTTGGCAAATGAGACAGCATCCCTGATTCTTGATCGTCAACGGAGGTTGGAACTCCGGATTCTTTCTCTCATTTGAGTGAAGCGTGATACTCCAAGCATAGCTACCTCCACTACCTCCACAAACCAGCCAATGCCACGCTCCAGGATGCTTTCCAGACCCTTGGGCTGAGACTCATGCACGGGTGAAGCAAGCCCCACAGAGCCATGAAAGCAGAACACTGACCTTGAACTCCAGACTCAGTGAACCCAGGAGCAGAGATACTCTGCCTGCTTCCAGTAGCCCGGCAGACCTTCACTACCTCCACTACCTCCACTACCCAGCCAACGCCATGTTTTTGTCTACTGAAATAATTATCTACATTTTATCCTTTAATGTGGTGAAACAAATTGATAACTTTTCTGACACTATCAATAGGGTCATAGCATTTTTGTATTTGTTAGATAAAGTCTAATCAGTTTTACTAATTTATAGTTTGACTCAAAAATTTTATTTTATTTAAAATTTTATATTATGGGAGAAAAAGGACATCTGAACCTAGAGAATTGGGGGTTTTGTTTTTTTTTTTATGTAGGATCACAACTACGACCATCCTGTTGTTCGTCGATTGCCTCGAGCAGACCCCAGTAACGTCTCCTTCGTCCTAGCCCTGAGATTTTTTAAAAAGTGCCATATTCAAGGCTCTTTCAGGGTTAGGGGAATGAGACCCATCA